TTATTTTTTCTTATTTTCGTATTTAAAATCAACGTAAATAGAAATTACTATCGCTATAGTTTCCTAAAATGGTAACAAACGGAAATCAAGTTTCGACGGGTCAACAAAATCTGAAATTTGAGTTTTCCGATTTTTCGAACCTAAGAAACTTGTTCGAAAAGTAAAATTTGGTAAAATTAGCATTAGAATACGCAGTAATGTAAAACTATAAATATGACTTTCTATGTCTAAATAAAGAATAACAGTTGGGTTTTAACCTTTGAAATTCGAGTTGGCTCTAAGCTGTTCCCTTTCTTTTAATATCAGTTATAAGCAAATCGTGATATTAACAAATACATATTTTTCGATCTGAAGTAAGAAAGAGAAATAACGGGTATTGATTACTGTAATAATCAGATCCTTAAAACGATTCCATTTTCATAACCACGTGACAATCGTTAAGAATCTTAACGATTATATTCAGATATCGAAGCCCGTTGTGCTAAATTCAAGAAGAATCTTCTTTAGCCCTCAAGTGAAGCATACGATATAACTAGTAAAAGTAGATTCAAGTTTATACTTATTCTAGTATTCCGCCGCGCCGCAGCAAGACTCAAAGACCTTGAAACTCCTTTCCACGCCTCTTTTCTGCCTTCTGTCTCAAGGTTTTAAAGTCTTGGAACAGTTAATTCTATTATTTTTGTGTTGTAGATTAGTTGGTTGATTAGTTTTCACCCTAGACCCATTAGTCTCCGCCTTCACAACCTTCACAGAGCACTAGCATAAATTATGATAAAAAATTCTGTTAAGTACTTAATTGCTATTCTTGTGAACAGCAGGTTGAGTAAAAATTTTATAACAAAACTTATTTATTATTCCGGCGACATATAAGTGCCGCCAAGGGAAAACCTGCCATCGACTTTCAATGTTCAGTTTGTTTCTCAGTGTGCCATCTAGAAAAATCTATCATTGAGCTTTGAAATTATAAAGTCCACCGATCCTGTTAAAACCGACAACCTATTATATTCGGTAAAAAATCGATCAACCAATAATTAATCTCCGATAATCTGTCATTTCAGATAGTCCTGATATTCTGATTCCCGATTTTTTAAATAATACATGCGGCTATTCCGGGTTCAAATGAGCCAATTCGGTTTCATATGAACCTACTTATGGTTTAAATGAGTTCATTCGGGTTTATTTGAATCCATTTCGGATTTATTTGAACCCAATCCCGGTTCATTTAGCCAACCAGGGTTTAAATAACCCTAACTTTGGTTTATTCTGAACCCAATCCAGGTTCATTTTTGAACCTATTTTGGGTTCAGAAGGATCCAATCCGGGTTCAAATAAATCCATTTAGATATCAATTTAATTTAATTTGTCCATTAATGGTACAAAACCTGTCCACTATGCATACCGACAGGGTAGACTGTATTTTGTCAAAATATAATTGAAAGCTGATGATAAGACTATTTCTAGATGGTGTTACGAAATTTTTGTGTTTAAATTTTCTTTGTTATATTTTTCTATATTGTATTAGTATATCTGTTAGCGCTATTGTTATGGAATAGCTGTGCATGGTTTAGAACCACAGATATTGACCATAAACCTGGGCTTGGACCATAGATTTTGGGTTGAGACCACAAATCTTGGTTCGAGACCACAGATCATGGTTCGAGACCATGACTATTTTGTTATGTATAAATATGACAGCTAAACTGATAAAGAGAAATGATAAATTTTTGAGAGAACTCCGATGAGTCATAAATAAAGTGCCTTATGAATTGTATACCAACTGAATACATTCTTTAATAACCCATTATCATTAAATCCGAATCCTTTATGAACATTCATCTCGCATAACCTATACTTGTTACCCTGAGCTAGTTTGACCTCACGTTAGCCAAGTCTCTCCCATGGTTATAACAATGTACGTACCAGATTTTTCGATTCTTGGAGAATTTTAAAGATTTCGAATAACTATAGATGTTGTTGATTGAAAATTATGATCAATAGATAATTTAAAATCTCGGAAATTTTTTCGCTATCATCATCACGAAATCTCACACTTTTTTGCAAACTACCATAATAACAATAGGTCGAAGGAATCATTATCAATTATTTTTTCTTATCCAAAAAAAAAAATTGGAATATGCATATTTATTTCAACTTAATTGCAGAAAATTACATAAAAAATATTAATAGTACTTAAAAGAATAAGCTATTGCGAATATTTAGCAAAAACATCAATTTGCTGCGTTTAATGACAGCGTATCAATCGATCGTTTTACCTTCTCTGATAGTTTCAGTACCCTCTTTAATAACTTTCTTAATTGCTACTTGATAACTTTTAAAAATTATTTCTATTTGTGTTTGATAACACCTGAGAAACGAATCAATAGCTATTCTTGGATTAAGATACTCTTCTTCGAAAAAATCCCACTTGTAATCGTCAAGGATCATGATTCCCCCTTCTTTCAAAAGATTCCACGACAAAATAGCATCGGATAACACATCATGAGATTCGTGAGAACCGTCAATATAAATGAAGTCAAAATTCATCATCTTTTTATGATTCAGATTAATGAGCGCATCAAATGACTTAATTTTGATAACTTCGATTTGCTTCTCTTTACGAGTCTTTTTAATATTTTCATGGAATGTTGTTTCATTATCGTTATCAGGAAATATTTTTACAAAGATATCAACGGTAATTAATTTAGACTCTGGATCTTTACATAATTCTTCTAAAATCCAAGTAGTTGATCTTCCTTCAAAAGCTCCTATTTCAAGCACATTTATTTTTCGATTTTTAAGACAGGATAGGGTTTGTTCCCAATAAGGAAGATGCGGTTTAAGCCAATCGTGCGTGAATTTGAATTTTCCAGTCTCTTGTCCTTTGCCTTCGTTATGTTTAACTTCTGCTTGTGGTGTAGACATTTTTTTCTTCTAAAAATCATGATTTGTGGGAACAAATTTATTTAATAAAATAAGCTTTACGAATTTAGGCACAATGACATTACGCTTAAGGAAAAATTATGAACTAAACATTGACGTAATTACGGCATCACTATTCATGCTCACTCAAGCGTTTAACATTTCATTTAACCTTTAAAAGTTTAAACTAATGAAAGTAATATATATTAATTCTTTATTGCTACGGATTTCAAGTAGTGTTGAGCAAATTAAAATTTTATGCGCATGAAATTTTGGCCATACTATGAAATTCTGGCCCGCATTATGGCAACTTGCTGCAAATGCGATCCAGAATTATGAGATTCCGCATAACACTAATTATAATACCTCTATTATTTTCTATTTCGTTAAATTAATAGTTGTTTAATGAGATATTTTTAAAAGCTAACATATGATCATAATTTTTTAGTTTCATGTACATTTATATAATCTTTTCAATTAACTTGTTCTGTGCCTGTCAAATAATGTCTAGTATTATTCTTATATAACTGTAAAAAAAATATATTTGCGTCTAACATTAATATTTCTGGACAATTTGGAGATCATTTGTTCCTTAAATTTTATGACCCGAACCTGACCAAACGGTGGTTTTACTACAGCCCGACCTCCTAAAATGCTAAGTCCAAATTCTGATCAAATTATGTGCTTAACTTCATAAATACCGGTGCTACCGAAAGTTCGCATAGCCGGCATCACGTAGGGTTAGGATTAGCGTTTTATTAGTTGGAGGTATATATTTTTAGTAAATTGTCACTTGGTGTGATGTCGGCTAAGTGAGCTATCGGTGAAAATGCATTTAAGGAGGAAACTTACTGCTGTTATATAGTTTCTCAACGGATCCAATCTGTATTGATTAATATTTATTATTACGTAAATTACTTGTCGGTAGCTGTATACATTTAATAATCGAAAATTATTTATTTTACTGTGGCGCTGATGCTAAAATTAATTAGGTGTCATTTTTGTTAGGGTTCAGAGATATAGTGCATTTATTTTGATAAGCATCATAGATAAATTTAGTAGACATCATCAGCAAATTTCAGCATAAGCTGCCACATTATATATATGTTTTATAACATTTGATAAAGTCCAGAATGATAAATTACATTAAAATCGAATATACATTTATAAAATAAATAAAATTTTAGAATACATAACCATTTCTGTGAACAAATCTGACATTATAACGTAAAGATGATTTATATAATAAAATTTTTTATCAATTAAAATTTTGAAATCTTTTTATCGATACAATACAATATACTGTAGTACAAACACCCCAAAAATTCAAAATTGCTAAAGTGATTTTCAACGATCGTAATTCTTAAGGATTCTCTGCCGCATTTCGATAACATAAAAACGCCTTTTCTTCATCAATTTCAGTCCCTATTCATAAATTATAACAATCTCCAAGTCTATTATATGCTTTGATATATCCATTTTCAATTGACATTTTATATAATTCAAATGTTAATTTTTCATCCTTTACGCCATTTTCATAACATGATGCAAGATTATGTTGCCCTACAGGTAATCCTTTCAGTGCTGCTTTTTTATAATACATGAATGCTTTTTCTCTATCCTCTTCAATTCCATAACCTATATCATATCAATATCCATGTTTATTATATTCCACAACATCTTCTTTTTCAGCTGAACTTTGAAAAAATTTAAATGCTTTTTCATAATCTCTTTCAATCCATTTTCCATTACTATAACAATGTCCTAGAAAACATTGAACTATCGGATTTTCTTGATTACTTAAGCACCAGTTTATGATAGTTTCTGGTTTTTGCTGTTTTTTTCTTAAAAAATTCATCCATTAAGTCATAAATTATTTTGATATATTTTCCTTTCATTCTTTTTTGATTATATAAATCGCATAATTCTTTTACAATTTGTAAAAAATCTTGTGAATTATTACGATAATCTGAATTTAAATTATTACTTCCTATGTCCAATGGTTTATAATTATGAGTTAATTGATAAAGGTATAGTGTAGTTGGAATTTGGAATAGCATTATTAAAGAATAATTTATTTTTTATAACCCATTTCCACTATGTATTAATTCTGCTTTCAGCCATTCAAAAGAGTATGCAATTTCTTGAATGTTAGGATCTTTCAGCCAGCAATCTATTAGTATAAAATATATATTAAAATTTTTTATTAATCAATTTAATCATTGTGCCTAATGATTGCTTGTAAATATGACTATATAACATACCAGTATATATAATAGCATAAGGTATTGGTGTTCCCTCAATAAATTTTCTCTAACTCCGCCTAATATATCGATCATTCATTCAGAAAGTCCGTATGTTCCATTTTTTGCTTCAAATAACCCCATACTTACTTTGCATTGTTCTTTATGTTGAAAACATTGAGGATTTATATATGGAAAAAATTTTGGGAACTTATTGGACAAGTTGAAAACATCAGATAATCGTCCAGAAAGTCTAATGCCTGCAATTTTAATATTATCTTCATGCACTAAAATATTATTTGAATACTATATGCATTAATAATAATTATATAATTAATATAATTAATAATAATGATAATAATATTAATAATAATATTATTATTATTAAAGATAAGAAAACAGGAAATTAGACGTTGTTTAACGAAAAAAAAATCATCAATGATAAATTTTAAATCTCTAAAATTTCTTAATTACAAGTTTTCCATGTATAATTTCTTTTTCATGTATAAACTTGATTCCATTAACAAGTTGCTGTGATAAATTTAATTTATGTTCCCAGTTCAGCTTGTAAAAAGTGGGTTGTAAATAAGTTGTAATCGTTCCACTGTCAGCATACTCGTGAACTAATATATATTGAAGATCTAAAATTTGTAAAAGAATTTTGAGTATATTCATGGTTCTAAAATTAAAATTTAGAAATTCATAATTCAAGTCATTATATAAATTAGATGCAGGATAGTAAAACGTAGAGTTCGAACAAATAGCTCTGCATCTTTTGCCACCTTTCGTTGCCTTTCGTTATAATTAATAAGCATAATATTAGCTCAGATTAAAATCCTTTTATTCTAGTGTACCTTCTTTCTTGGTGATTCCATAAACTTTTATAATATTATCATGTATGAAATCTTTATATAAATTGATCTTAGTATACGTATTAAAAGGGTTAGAATATAATGTAATTTATAATCATAAATAAAATCAAGAATACTACAGTTAAAATACCTCATTTAAAATTGCTTTACAGTAATTGCATCGATAATTTCAAGCGACACTAATGATAAACATTTATACAACTGCATGATATGTGCTTCCAAATGTTCCTGAACCAATTAATTGAGTATTTTTAAATGCATTATAATCAATAGATTTATCTTTTAGTAATCCTTTAAATGGATCATTTGTTTTATTGGATAAATTTTCAAAGGTCATCTTTTTGCTATAATTTATTCAATGTTTATATGTTACGTAATTGCAAATCATTATTTGTGTAATTTATCAATAAGTACAGTACCTACGTATATATGTATTATTATTGCTCAATCAGATGGCTTTATTTAAACAACTAACGCTAAACAATTTTATTTAATAAAGCTGAAAAACATATGGGAATAGGGGTTCGCTACCTTTTGTGGCTCTAATATACATAGCCAAATTCACAACTACAAAGACATAGATATATCAAAACAGCAGGTGAAAAGGACACAACTAATGCCCTGCCTGCCCA